ATTCATATTTTGTGCTACCCAGGCCTTTGGCGATCTTTAATATCCATGATTTAGGGAGTTTCTTCCACTTTTGATGCCCCAGGACTTGACCGGTTTAATTTCTAGAGTTTTTCTCCTTCACCCATTTTTTGCCTTTTGCTTCTGTTTCCATATTCTTCAAATTTTGTGCTACCCAGGCCTTTTGCAATCTGTAATATCCATGATTTAGGGAGTTTCTTCAAAATAGTCGGCAAAAGAAGGGTCATACCATCCATGTCCAGCATGGGTGGTTCCAGCAATAGTCACAGAAACTGAACCTAGTAAACACACTGCCAGTGGGTTTCATAAGCAGTAGTTATTACGAAGCAATATGTGTTAGCCTTATATATTTTATTACTTCATAGTTTAGGCAGAAATTCTAGCAGTCTTGGAGATGAACTGAGATGCTTGCTAGATGCAAATCAGGAAAAGGAGTTACAGTTTCTCCAGGACATTATAAACAAATAGGAAATGGCTAAAAAGTCAAGTCACTAAATATACAAACTGTAAATGATGAACAGGATTCCAATCAATACCTTTTTGAAGAATGTTGAATATGAGTTGTCCCATACAAGCTTGTACGATCCAGCGAAAACAGTGCAAAAGTTACCCTGTGCAGGACAAACGAAATGTTAAGCATTAGAAGAGCAGATACGGGTTTTACTCTTACACCATGGCTGCTAAAAGCTAAAGCAACAGTACTCTTGCCCAGGGTTTTTTCCTGTGCAAGCCGGTCGCATAATTAAAGCAAAAATAGGACAAACATTACCCTGTTTAAATCATTCCCTAGTCAACTGGTTGGGATTGTACATCTAGCAATTTATTAGCAAAACCATATGTTTCCACATTTTTCTGAACCAAAACTGTAGGGGAGCCCCCACAGTAAATTTTATTGCAATATATACAAAACAAATGACTATGACATCAATAATGTTGGATAGAGGTATAAATTTGGGTGGTTGGACAATAGTAATCAACTATGGTGCCTGACTGCACACGTTTCTGATTACCTGATGATGAACCAAAGGTCTAGATCAAGGTGGGATTCATACTTTTGATTGGCTGGTTACCGTTTGCATTAATAATAATACAAACGGCCAACAGACCATGTGGTTCTCTCGCTGTGGCCCATGTTATGACGGCCGAAGATGTATTCCACTAGCCTAAACATGCAAACTGCTATGCTAAGAATAATACTTTGTACTAAAGCTGTGACAATTAATTTGGACCGAAGGGAGTACAAAATTTGACTGATCTGTCGAACACATAAACATGCTAATCCTATAACCTATTAAACCCTTTTTTGGAACTAACTCGCTTTGAATGAAAACTATATTGATTGGACCACAAACCTGAAAAGTAGAATATTTCGAAGCAAAAGAGGATAAGCATTAAAGTGAACTCACTTGGTCAGCTTCATAACGTCGGTAGGGAAGAATCAACTGGAAAACATATACATTCATTAGAGAAAACAATTAACACATATGAAGGTCAAAATAAATTTATAGAACATGTATATGGAACAGTCAGAATATCGCTGCTTCCGAAGTCCCACGACTCCCGACGTTCCGAGCCTTACAAGGTTTCTCGGACTCCGAATCGCAACCCCCATTTCGGAAGTCAGTTCTAAGGCGGGGGTAGGGGGGACTCTTGAGTTTGTTCAAGTGGGGCGTGAATGAGTTACATGCCCATGGGGAGCTATTTATAGCATAGGGATCGTTGACAAATGACAAAGGCTACCCTTGAGATGAGGAGGTGGGAGGGTAGAAAGAGGTAATCTTTGGTCTATGAGTCAATGGGATCCTAGTGGGCTAGGAGGGAAATTGTGGCCCATGGGAGGAGGAATTCCCTCCACCATAGCTTTCTGGCTTGGGCTCCATCTTTGACTTAGTCTTTTATCTTCTCTTCTTCCATCAACTTGTTGACCATGAGGGCTCAGTTGGACCTTTGTTGACCCGGGCGGCTTGCTTCAGCTCATGGAGCTTGCTTAGACTTTTGTTGACCACCTTGGACTTGGGTTGAACATCTTTGTGGGTGGCATGTAGGACTCGGGTGGGACCCCGGATATAATTTTAGCTATTCTCTCAACACATATTCTCTTGTATAGGATCTTGCAGGCATATGTATCTAACAAAGACAATGACTGGTTTTTAAAGCCACAGGCAACCTGTCCGCTACTAGGTAAACAAACATATAAAAGCTAGTTCAACTTGATGTGTGATTCTGAATACTTTTCATTGCAAAATGGAAATGCTCAAGTTTCTTCCGAGATAACAACTAGCCAACTGATTAATCATTTAAGTAAGGGAAACACTTCTAATCAGTAGTCTGATAGGGAACTTTTTCAGACTTGTCCTGTGCCGTTGATGCTTTCCTAATCCCATGGCTTATACTCTAAGCAAACTGCCCAAATTAATGCCCCGAGGAAATCTCGCCTGCCCCATCCTAAACACCTGATTACGTCACATGTTCGACCCATCCACCCTACCCGTGTGGCATCACCCGGGCAAGCGCATCCTCAAGCTCGCCGACCTCCCTCGTCGCGACGGCTACCTCCGCCACCACCGCAATCCGCCTCAGGCCCCAGAACTCTATGACGTCAACAACTGCTCGAGGTAGCCGCTGCAGCAACCCGCCCATGTCTGCTCCGCCAAGCCCTGCTCTCACCGCCGACGGCGCCGCCCCCATTGCCAGCCCGCTTCCCCGTCAGATCCTGCTCCTTCACCATTCATCCCGCCACGCTGGTTCGCCTTTTCGGCTCGGCAAAGAAGCTGCACACATATCCCAGCCATTGTGCCCCTGGCATGTACTCACCTGAACTAGGGTTTGATTCTTTTTTCACCACTTGATTTGATTCACATTACTCTGGATGCAATACTTGGTTTGATTAATTTGTGTATCTGTGTTACATCCGATGTGTAATGGATCACTATTTAATCTACGAAATTTGGTTAATTTCTTATGCAAATGAAATTAATATGATTCCCAATCTTGCCGAGTAATATTAGTTTCGATCTGATTTCAAATTTCCATGCTTGCATCCAAGTTTAGATCTGTTCTTAACTACTATGTTAGTGCTTCTTAGTTCTGTAGTCTAAATTGCTATACATATGCTTCTGGACCCTATATATTTTGCTTCCAAATGACAAAAGTTACAAAAATCAATATGTTGATGAGTCAAAAACATCCGTCCCCTTGGTGGCCGGACATTATAGTTTTGCTTCAGTGGTAATTTTTCTATGCTTCAATCTGAACCGGCTGTCTGTAAGAACATCTTCTATGTATCTTCTGTATAGCATATTTTCATCCAACCGCAACAGGAACTTCCAATATGACAGTACATTTGCTTCTAAGGTTTCTGCATAAAGCTTCCTTGCCTGCTGATACTGAATTCATCATTTTTTTGCTTCTCCTGCTTATAACCATAGGAAAAGTTCATGCTCCCATATAATACTACATCTTTCTCCGTTGTAGATGCTTTGCTTCTATACAACCATGCTAGATTTTTTTAAAATTGTTGTTGTAACATGCTTTCATTTCTTATGTTTTCAGCTGACCCGGGATAATGAAGCATTTGAAACCTTAGTGTATGCTGAAGAGCCCTTATGTGGCATGCTGGTTGAAAGATGTTATCTTAGGTCTTCGTACTTATTGGGCTTCCAAACTATACCTCATATGCTTCTTCGGTCTAGGTAGAATGCTTCCATGCTTCATGTTGTTTTTCTTAAATCGTTGTTTTCATTTTTATCACCATTGTAATATTCCATGCATCCATATTATGCTACACACGTTTCTTTGCTCTAGGTAGTTTGCTTCCATAGTTCATGCTTCTACCTTTTTGTGTTTATTGGCTCCATTTAAATTTAAAGAAAGCCCCATGTATGGTGTGAAAGATTGACTCATTGCTTTTTATGTAAGCCATGCTTCCTACTTTCATGTTATGAATATGTTGCCTACAACATATAATTTTCTCTTCACCTCAATTTTATTATGCTTCCATTGCCTATCATGTATGTTGTGATAGATTAAATTGTTGCTTCGTGTTGTGCAGATGCTTTGCACCGAACGATGCCAACCATGTATCACTAGTTTCTTAAACATGTTGTATTGTCCTCTCCTCATGATGTTGACGGTGTCGATCTCAAGGCGGTGGAGGAGGTGGTGGAGACATGGGCGGAACCGCGATTAAGGCTTCCCTTGAGGATGGCGTTTTCCTAAGTACTCCACTGACATGACGACGTGGACGCATTGCGGCACACGCTAGAGCGTGTGAGCTCTAGCTCACGCGACCATCAAACCAAGCGATCAATCGGTTGCAGTGGCAGCCCTGCTGCTTGCTGTCACCACAATGGCGACAGCTTTCATTTCGTGATTCTTCGCCTACACATTCCCTATCGTGCAGCCGCGGCCCAAGACAATGCCCTCGCTTCCTATACGTCTTAGTCTCTTAGACATGGACCTTGGATAAGATTTATTTTTTCTGTTTTAATTGTATTAGGCTTTTACGTGGATGGAAGCAGATTCCTTTTTCTTTAGAAGCAATTTTGTGTTCGTTTGAAAACAATCTAGTTGCTACCGTGGAAACCATTTTATGTTTGAGTGGAAGCATATTTAATTGTTGACCATTGATGCAAATTTCCTTTCAGTGGAAGCAAATTTTCTGGTTGCCAGAAACAAATTCTTGCTTCATTGGAGATACAGAGTAAACATTTATAATGAGCACATATTTCCTAATGAATTTGTGTTAGACCAAAACTACTTTGGCTACTGTTTGTTGAAGCAAAATTATATTGAGTTTATGGAAGCACATATGTGGGAAACAAATCATATGAAGAAAACAAAAGTATCAATCCTGGAAGGTCTCATAGATGGACGCACTAGATCGGAAGCAAATTGGAATCAAACTTTGATTCCGTGCAGTCTGAGGGCTTCACGTTTCAGGATTAACATAATCAGAGTTTAGCGAGAGTGTGTGTGTGCTAACCAGAAGCAGTTATAAGCAGTTATTAGGAAGCAATCAAAGAGCCAACCAGAAGCAGTTATTAGGAAGCAATCAAAGAGCCAACCAGAAGCAGTTATTAGGAAGCAATCAAAGAACCATGCACGGCCTAGTACTGGATCCAACGGCCGTCTTACATCTCATCCTACGGCTTAGCACTAGTCTGATAGGAAGCAAGGATCGGTAGTCTGATTCCTAGTGCTTCCTTTTAAGTAATTTGAGGTATAGGTGTGCCAGTTACAAAGTAGTTTTTTTAACTACTAAAAAGACAACAATCAGCACTATTTAATCATTAGGAACTAGCTTCGAATCTAAGCACCAAACCATGATAACTACTGCAGTCATACTACTACTAATTGAATTAATATCATCAATATCCACAAATGACAAACTGTAGATATCTTCAGGATATTTCATTTCCTTTCGTGAACAGAAAAAACATAGTCACATTATCCCAAAATTTAAAAACCTACCGTTTTCTCCCGTGACGGGCTTATGTACTCCACATGAAAGCCAATGTCCTGTCCAGGTAAAAGTTTTCACTTCAGAATTGTAAGAACACAAATCACATACAACAGTGAAGAGAAATGTACATCAAACTGCCAGTTTCTGAAGGTGAAATAACAATATCATTCGCAATTTATTTTTTTCAGTCAAGTTTGAAGGATTGAAATGAGAAAAACGGGAACTTTTCCTAGAAAGTCAGAACAAATAATACTTAATACCTACTCCCTCTGTAAACAAATGTGGGACGTTTACGCAGTTTAATTAACGTCCTACATTTGTTTACAGAGGGAGTAATTATTTGTTGCAACGGACTGAACTGACACGGTCAGGTATTCTTGTATGTGTTTCGATAAGTGAGATGACCAATGGGTTTTTCCTATTTGGATAGGACCAAGATGACTTGAAAGTGCATCTAGGCCCCTAATGATATTTTGGTATTGATGACACAATTATAGGGAGTAATGTGTTTGTTAATTGCATTGTCAGGTTTTAGTCCCCTTTATGATGATTGTCGAGTCATCGGCGACAACCCAAAAGGAATAGATCTAGTCGTAGAAGCCCAGAGGTTTCGAGAAGGCTCTATTTTATTTTCGTTGAGTTGGTAAGGATCCCGCACTATTACGAGAGGATGTGTTTGGTGAAGAGTCTTGGTCAAAATGACCAACATTTTTGCTAGAACAAAAGGAACCAAAGCCAAAAAGCCCAAATACCCTCAAGAATTTCTCCAAAAATCAAAGGAAATGAGATTGGGGGATTGGGAAATCTGATGCGGAGCATCCCACGGCCATTCCCATGGATATTCCATCACCACCGCAAACACGAGGCGGACCAATGACGAGAGCCCACGCACATGCCATCGAAACCGAGGTTACCTCTTTCCTCTTCGAGCTTCCTTTGAGCTCATGTGAGAAATGACTTCTACCTCAAGTGGAGACTTTATGCATGCTTAGGTATCAGGAGAAGACCATGGAGAAGCAAGGAAGGATCAGCAAGTCCACGGGGAGCCACAAGAGGAAGGAAGAGAAAGTCCAAGACGCGAAACACCGGAGGCTCTCCCGACACCCCGGGTGCCCGGACAAATGGACTTCCGGCCACCAGAGGGCAAAGTTTCTGGACACCGCGGGTGCCCGGACCTTCCTCCCAGTCGACCACCCCGGTTGCCTAGACCACCCCGACCATGCCTGCGTGCATTAGGGGCAAATGACCCTTGTACTCCTGCTTTTCCCGCCAAATCTTCCCTAGGCTATAAGTACTAGTCCCCCAGCTCAAAATTAGGGTTAGCAAAGTGTATGAGACTATCTAGAGAGAGCTTTGCTCATCTACCACTCCTCTTGGAGATCAACACCTCCTAGGAGAAGATCCCAAGTGGATATCAAGACCTCCTGGAGAAGACTATCATCAAGACCTCACCTCCTTTGGAGTGGGAAGAACCTTACCTTTGTGCTATTTTCCCTTGATTGTTCTTGTATACTTGTGGATCTCATGTATGCTATTCTAGTGGATGTGTGATTTGGGTTTGTTTGAGTGATTTCCTCTTGTTGTTCTTGTTGTTCATCCCTTTTCCCCCTTCCAAGTGTGAAAAGATCATCCATTAGGGTTCCACCCTACATCAAAATCTTTCTCCAAAGTACATATGGAAGAAATACTCAAGAGGTAACCCTATCTGAAGTGGGAAGGGGTATTTATAGTGTGGAGAAGAAAGTAGCCATTTTCTGCAAAATTGCACATCCAGGTGTTATGGGAACAACTTGTAATTCCACGGTGCCATAGGCCAGTATGTATACATGTACAAGTGTAGGAAATGTGCAGAAATTCCCTTATACAACAGGGAAAATACAAAAGCTACACAACACTATTATAACTCTAACACCCCTCTTAAACTCATGCGGGTCAACAACACTGAGTTTGGAGAGATAAAAGCCATTATGCTCTAGTCTATGCCTTCATGAAGAAATCCACCAACTGTAACTCGGAAGACACATACTGAAGAGCAATCATCTAATCCTGCACACTGGAGCGCACAAAGGAACCATCAACACCATATGCTTGGTGAGCTCATGCTTCGCAGAGTCGTGTGAATACTAATAACACATGTACTGTTGAAAATAAGAGGAATGGGTGTAGCGACAAACAAAATCCTCAAGCAACCACCGTAGCCAAGTCAGCTCTTCTGTTAGAAGAGCCATAGCACGCAACTCAGCCTCTGCACTCAAATGAAAACTGCAATCTGTTTCTTCGTCTTGCAGGCAATGAAAGAACCACCAAGAAAAACACAGTAAGCAAAAAGGGGTTGTCAATCCGAAGGATCGCTAGCCCAAGTAGCATCCAAATAGGCCTAAAGATGGAACGAACTAGAGGGTAGAAAAAAGAGATAGTGAGAGAGAGTCCCACAAAGATACTGTGAAACACAAAGGAGGTGCCAGTAGTGGACCAAAGTGGAGCAGAGACATACCGACTCAAAATGTGAATGGGATGAGGAAATATCCAAATGAGTAACAGCTAGATAGACATGGGATGAGGAAATATCCAAATGAGTAACAGCTAGATAGACAAGACTCTCAACAAGATAACGGCAGCGCATCAGGTCAAACAGAGGGTCACCGTCGGAAGCACGGAGGTGGACGTTGAGCTCCATCGAAGCCTCAAAAGCGCTCATCAGTAAGAGCAACACGAGCAATAAGATCGTGAATATACTTCTCTTTTGAGAGCCATTAGAGGCGGAAGAAACCTCAATCCAAAGAAAGTAGCGAAGAGGACCAAGATCAAACATAAGAAACTGCTCACTACGACGAGCCTTCACAAAGGCAATGTACTTAGAGTTGTCGCCAGTGATGATCATGTCGTCGACATATAGAAGAAGAGTCCGACCACGAGAGGTAGGGTGGACAAAAAGCGTGGGATCATGAGCACTCGCCGAAAAACCAGCCGCAGTCACCATTGAGACGAAATGCTCAAACAAAGCACGAGGGGCTTGCTTAAGGCCATAGAGAGAGCGGCGAACACTGCCTACCATGCCATCATGAACAGAATAGAATACCCGGGTGGTGGTGGTGGCTGCATGTATACCTCCTCAGGCAACTCACCATTAAGAAAAACATTCTTGACATCAAGCTGAGAGACAGACCATTGGCGAATAGAAGCCACCGTGAGAAGGGTGCGAACAGTTCTCATCTGGGCCACAGGAGCAAATCTCGTTTTAGTCACAACCATGCTCGTCGACGGCTCCCCCGACGCCTCCCAGTTACAGCACCTCGTCAAAGATGACATCGCGGGAGATGTGCACGTGCTTTGAGGCAGGGTTATACATCATGTACACCTTGGAGCCGGTCTCGTAGCCGATGAAGACCATAGGTGAACTCCGATCATCGAGCTTCAGATGAGGGTGCGCCATCTTGACGTGGCCTACACACCCGAAAACACGAAGGAAATGTACGTCAGGCTTCACACCGTGCCACGCCTCGTACGGTGTCATGTCGTCGACGCTTCGAGTAAAGGACCAATTGAAGATGAAGACGGCCATGAGCATCGTCGCCCCCCAAAACATGTTGGGCGCCATGCCGAGTATGGTCTGGTTTCATCGCTTGACGACACCGTTCATCCACAAACAGATGGACAAACAGAAGTGGTGAACAAGTTTTTGGGTAATCTGATCTGTTGCATTTGTGGAGAAAGAAAGGGACAATGAGATTTGGCTCTATCTCTTGCAGAGTTCTCCTACAATAACTCCAAGCATAGATCCACAGGAAGGAGTCCTTTTTCCATTGTCTACACTAAAGTTCCAACACATGTGGTGGACCTGGTGAAGCTACCATCAAGAGGAAACTCAAAATCAGCATTGTCCTTTGCTGATAATTACACCGAGTTATTTGAAGAGATTCGTGGTGTTCTGGAAGCACAAAATCAGAAATATAAACAACTTGCTGATTGCAAAAGGAGGCCAAAATCATTCCAAGTTGGTGATAAGGTGATGGTCTACCTCCGAAAAGAGAGGCTGCCTTTAGGTGTTAAGGGGAAGCTTAGGCAGCAAAGGTATGGGCCCTTCTCTATCATGAGGAAGATAAATGATAATGCTTATGTGATAGATCTCCAAGCGACATGGGCATATCCAACATTTTCAATGTTGCGGACTTTGACTCCCTACCATCCAGAAGAAGCGCTCTATGAAGATAACTCGAGGGCGAGTTCCAAACAACACTAGATGAGAAAAAAATCGTATGTCAGATTTGTTTGGCTACTTCTAGATGCTTCCACTCTAGTGTAGTATTTCTTTTCTTTTCTTTTTTATCCTACCTACTGTTTTCTAGAATCTTCTAGTTGTGAGTAGCTATGAGTAGAATGGTGAAACTTAAATAATGTTTTCTAGAGTATACCAGCTATAAGTAAAAGTATGTGAAGGCTTCCCAAAGCCCTATATATAGAGGTCCTCACCTCTACTTTGAACCAGACTATGTACCCACTACCTATAATAAAACTTGTTGTTCTTATCTAAGATCTTGGAGTAGATCTTGTGCTCTAGGAGTTCTGGATTCAACTCTTGCTGCCATATCGGCCTACATTCGCCTCTAGAGTGATATCTAGCACAATACGTTGAAGTAGTTCCTTCATCACTTGTGTTGTACACATTGTAGCAGCAAGGTGGATTTGCTCCTCCACAACCTTTGTGCTGCTTCAACGACACCCTACAATCATGCCAGTGACGCACATACGGCATCCTCCTGGCCTAACTTAAACAGCCTAAAAAATCGCTAACAGAACAACTCGATAAAAGGGCTGCCATGGCAGACTTTAGAGCAAGTATAATAGGGTGACATAAGCGGGCTATAAGGATTGCCACCTCAGAATTATGATGATGTGGAGGAGAGGGGAGAGGAGAGAGAAGAGGGATGGGCTGTAAACTTGTATCCAGCTGCAGCACGAGCTCCAATACACTTTGTGAGAGAAGGTGGGGTCAAGCATTAACTACATAGTGTATAGAGCCAACAACTATTATATGAATGGGCTTTTAGGTTGGCTATAAGTGAGGTGGCACAAAGATAGAGCTAGCAGTCGGCTATATTATTAATCTTGCTCTTATTTGTCTGCCCTCGAGGAAAGGTTTAAGCCCACAACCAAGTACTCCTACTACCTTAACAGGTTTGACTCTGGATTTTGGCTTATTAGCTTTGAATAAAGTGATTATAGATAGTCCAGATGTTCATAGGAAGTCTGATGGTTATACATGTCTCCCTTGGAGAAAACCAAGTCCCAACAAAGCACATTACCCTCATCAAGGACATGTAACAATTGTTTGAACAAGTGGTGGCGACACTAATGACTTCCCGGTTAAAATAGAACTGCACCAAGGGTCAGCTTTGAGCCCTTATCTTTTTGGTTTGCTGATGGATGAGGTCACAAGTGATATACAAGGACATATCCCATGGTGTATGCTCTTTGTGGATGATGTGGCGCTAGTCGGTGATAGTCGGAAGGGGGTCAATAGAAAGTTAGAGCTATGGAGACAAACCTTGGAATTGAAAGGTTTTAGGCTTAGTAGAACTAAAACCAAGTACATGAGGTGTGGTTTCAATACTACTAGGCGCGAGGAGGAGGTTAGCCTTGATGGGCAGGTGGTACCTCAGAAGGACACCTTTTGATATTTGGGGTCAATGCTGCAGAACGATGGTGATATTGATGAAGATGTGAGCCCTCGAATCAAAGCCGGATAGATGAAGTGGCGTCAAGCTTCTGGCATTCTCTGTGACAAGAGAGTGCCACAAAAGCTAAAAGGCGGGTTCTGGTGATTCAACTCGCAATGTTGTATGATGCTGAGCGTTGGTCGACTAAAAGGCGACATGTTTCAACAGTTAGGTGTACTGGAGATGCCGGATGCGCATGTTAAGATGGATGTGTGGCCACGCAAGGAAGGATCAGGCCCAGAATGATGATATACGGGATAGAGTTGGGGTAGCACCAATTGAAGAGAAGCTTGTCCAACATCGTTTGAGATGGTTTGGGCATATTGAGCGCAGGCCTCCAGAAGCTTCAGGGCATAGAGACAGCTAAAGCATGCTGATAATGTTGAGATGTCAGGGTAGACCAAACTTGACATGGGAGGAGTCCGTAAAGAGAGATCTGAAGGACTGGAATATCACCAAAGAACTAGCCATGGATAGGGGTGCGTGGAAGCTAGCTATCCATGTGCCAGAACCATGAGTTGGTTGTGATATCTGATGGGTTTCCGCTCTAGCCCTACCCCAACTTGTTTGGGACTAAAGGATTTGTCGTTGTTGTTGTATTAACATACCTTACAAAGTATAATGTTGGATAGAACTATCATGGTTGTTAGAGATGGAACTACACACGGAAGAGTTTAATAAATATAAAACATGTAATCATTTTGTTAATATATTAACATATATGCTCCCTTCGTTTCTTTTTACTCCGCATATAAGATTTGTCTAAAATCAGATTTATAGTAAAAATACCAACATTGATAATACAAAATCAATATCACTATATGCATCATGAAATTAATTTTCATATTGTATGACTTATGTATTGTGGATGTTGATATTTTTACTATAAAGTTGGACAAACTTTTATGAAATTTGACTTCAGACAAATCTTATATTCAGAGTAAAAAGAAACGGAGGGGACACATACAATAATAGTTTTAATTGTAAGTCATATTTTTAAGGACAGTATGTGCGGTTCACGGGGAGGCGGCGCATAAGGAGCACTAGCCATACCACAGGGCATACTCAGGAAAGGAGTCGGCACAATGCATATATATCTCCGTAGTTGGGTTAGTTGGATGAATATCTTTGTACCTGGATAGCTCCGGCATGATCTTAACAGATTGGTTACATCAGACTATATAAACACAACATTGTCATATCTTTGCATAAAGTAATTAAATAAGGAAGTCCCCGGTACCCACGCTCATGCTCACTAAGCTATTGAAAACACATAGAAGTATAACACAGCAATCAAAACAGTTAAAATCAACTCCAAGTAGCATAAAGATTATGACTACACAATAGGAAATTGCTAATCATTTTGTGTTTCTTGGCAGTAGGGGTTGGACAGAGTACCAGCAGTGTGCTGAGGGCCCCTTGTTGCAACGAGAAATCCCATGCAATATATGAGTTGACAGCCTCAACACTTAAAATAACCTGTAGAATAATGATTGACAGAACATAAGTATTTTGAAACCCTAAAAGTCACAAAAAACAGCTAACAGATGTTCCAAACTAATATTCAAATATTTAGGTAACTGTAAACCAAATTTGCATTTCATACTCCCTCCAATCCAAAATAGGTGTCGTGGTTTTAGTTCATTAATGAGCCAAAAAAAAAACTGTGTCCAACTAAAATGGTACCTCATGTGTCTTTCCCGCTGGAATAATGGTTTCTCGGTACTCATCGTTTTTCCTACATGAAGTGTAAAAACAAGAGTCTTTCAGTTCTGAAAGCCCTTCCAAAACTTCTCCATGCTTCGTAGCGAGCTAATGCTAAATAAGCACAGCAAAATGCATCAAATTTGCACTGAATCGAGTAAGTACCTCGAATCAGCACCTGCATCCTCAGCAGATATGAAGAATGGGGCATTCACAAAAACCTCACTGCAATGGTTTCTCTCAGCAGTTAACAGATTGTTAAGTGTTAACAGTCATAAATAGAAGTAAGAAATTCTGCATGCCATATATTAGGATCTATTCAGGCTGAGGCTGGTGAACCTGCATTGCATGATCAGCATCTAACTTCCTACAGTAGATTAGACTTCTTCGTGTTATTTATAGGTTACATTTGATAATTATTTGCTGAAATCAGTAGGCACCAAATGCAGGTTAACAAGTGCATGGTTTTGATACAATAAAGTAGGTCGACAACAAAGATGCTAAGATCAAGTTAACAAGTTAAACAATGTCTCAAAGTAAAACGCTCAGAGCAAAAAGAAAAGAAATAGCTATTAGGTTCAAAATGTATCAAAACCATGTGAAGAAGCAGGAAGCCAAACTTATTGAATCTTGTAGCCCACAGAAATAAGGTTGTACAATATTATGTATTTCTTCTTTGAATCCAAGTATTTGCAGAGTATGAATAGAAGATGATTGCGAGTTAAAATTTTAAACGTATATGTGAAGCACTAGTATGGAACATGGGAACATAGAAAATCAACATACTATTGTTAGAGCGTAACAACTGTTAGCTAGATAACGTTGATAATGAAATTATAGTACCCGATGAATGTAGTGAACTTCCCAAATTCCTCGGTGTATATAACCACTGCCTGCTGCAACACAGCAATGTCATCCTTCCCTCTGTTTATTTTTTAAATAGAGTTTCAGAGTTATTAGAATTAAAAGGGGCATATGCAAACAGAGCTAATTCCCGCAAGATATTCTATGGCTAGTTAAAAAGTGTATACTCTTTTCAAATAAAAACTCGCTCACATTTTCTTCTGTCCATATCGTGCCAAAGAGAGATGTAGATACAACCGAACTGCAAGCACCAGTTTTGTAAGTGTGTATAGTGCTGGCCCGTAGCGTTCTCTTTGCACTTCCATAGGTCTGACGAGAAAATTCAATAGAAAGAAATGTCATCAATAATAAGTACATTCAATATTTGTCCTTCACTCCATGTACATGGTAGTACATGCTAACTTGTGTTACGATAAAAATAGTAGCATGCATACCCATTAGCATCATTTATTTGTCGAATAAAATCCAATAACACCTGCAATGGTCAGCACAAGAAACTGATTGTTACTATGCCACCATGTAACATTGCATTCTAAAAGGAGTAATAATAACTACTTAAGGGAACATTCAACAATTTACATCTTGATAATGATATGCCAATATTAGATGGAATGAAATTCGTAACAATCCAGTGTTATCTCAAATTTAGAATAACGATGTTCTCATCATCATCATCAAATATGGTGAATATGAATTGAACAATTTGGCTAACCTGTGGAACACCAACCAAGTACCTAACAAGTGTCTTATATACACCTGTTGCAGAACCAAGCTGCGCTAATTGCACCCGCCTACATACCAAAATGGAAAATAATTATAAATTTATTGATAATGAAAATTTGTAGACCGATAAATGAAAGGAGAAGAACCTATCCATTTGCTGCTTCCATAGCAATGCATATCTATCATGAATGCTTCCACCAGAACTAACTACAGCATCAACCTCCGCTTGCTTATTTCTCTCAGAGCGTTCTCGCTGTTGCCTGATCAGTGTACCGCGGAAGTCTTGTGGCATGTATGTCATAACTACAGATGTTGTAAATGCAGGTCAAATACCAAATGATAAGGCAATTAACATGACAAAAGAAGTACTGTTTTACTATACAAATTTCAGTTCCAGAAATCAATAGTTCAAAAATGACAGGAAGGCAACATGGTACAGACTCGTCACAAAATAGAACAAGATATATCATAGAGCATATCACAGTAAGCTAGTTGGTCTAAAAAATATCATAGTAAGCTAATATTTGGGACTGTGGGATTAACAACTGAGGAAAATCTCAGGAAACAGTGAAGGGCTCCAGGGAAATTATATGGGAAGGAGATTCAATCATCTATGTCCAGGACATGCTAGAAAACAACCAGTACAAAACTATTGGGTGCACAGTAATACAAGTTTTAATGGGTAATTGTATCTTTTACCTCTATTTATGAAACAGTTAACAGTAAAGTAAGCAGAAGGAAAGAATGTCAACCTGTATTGAAAACATTATCGGCATTTTTTAGCTGAAACTGTTCCAACTTCTTCAACATCTCTTTCAATTTAGTTTCACAATCATCAAGTGTGGAAACTATCTCAGCGTCTTCTAGTGTGGACTTCTGTTGAAGCTGGTCGCAAGCACATGACAAATGTTAGCTACAAAATTGAAAGGTAGGAGTCATCCTTGCAGCAAGATTCAGAACTAAACTTACAGCAACGGGACGACGAGATTTATTAAGCAGAAACAGAATCTCTTCCATCTGTTCTCTGTTCTTCCACATGTTCTCATCTATTTTATGGGCAGGTACACCAGATGCCTCTTGTTCCAAGTGCTCCTCCTCTTCGACATGCAAAAAAGATAGATTTATCATGTCAGAACAATACTTGCTTCAGAAAGATCACCCAAGCAATGTTCTATAATTAGCAAGCCAAAGAGTCGCAGCTGATGTCCTAGTGAAAATCTACTTCTTTTCTTAGATAGTAAGGTACAATATGAAATGGTTTTAATCTTAGTGTTAACCCTTACACATTCGTAAAACTTCTGCTAACAACACCCTGCATGGATTTACAACAGACGCCGCAAGAAACCAACGCATGAGATCTGCCACTGATAACTTATGCTAGCATGCATATTTCTCTATCTTTAATGGGACTTGACCTTTTTCTTGGACTAAGTTCATCTTGCTTTTTCACTGATCGTCTCACTGATAAGTGGGATCGGTACCAGTATGTCAACTAAGTGGCCAAAACGTATTCATTCAGGATTTACGGCCAAAATGGAAATCTCCATTTCAAAATGTTAATTACAAAACCATTGTCCCTGCTCCCAATTTCCCGCCTACTTTCCCTTTCTAAGAGAGTTACATTTGTTTTTTCCACTGCTAATGTGAGCACTCACCGTACAAGTACAGGGGATTTTCCCTTCATATTTCTAATAATTTATTTTTGTTGTTTGTCTTAACTAAAATTAACCATATGGCACCCTTTGTAATGCACAGGTCTTTTACAGGTAGATAGCATACAATCTTACTACAGAGATGAAACATAAATGGCTTCCAGGACTAATGAGCAGCACCCGGATGTAACAAATTAGACGCCCCTGTCAAACCAAACATCCACGCGGCTAACAAAAGCACTATAGAAAGGCCAATTATAATTAGTGCATGCCAAGGATCAAAACCTGCTGCAGTTTCAGCTTCTAAGACTAAACTTTCAAGTCAATTAATACAAGATAACAGCACTAGTTACTAGTTAGCCACTAACCAAATTCTGCATATAATGGGGAAAAAGAACCGAAAACGTACAAACCCTGAGAAGCATACCCACCTCAGTTATTGTGCTGGCAATAACTGATTTTAATCGTTTTGAGTCTGGCTAGACCGAAGAAAGGGAAGCAGCCTCCAATTTCTAGCATGCCCCCGAGCAGGAAACTACCCGCACTAGAAGAACCGAACAAGATTACTGTACCCATTCCACTCTTCAGGAATCGTAGTAAGTTCAAAGGTAGCAGCAGCGGGGTCGAGAAGCAAGCGAATCGCAGCGAGGCATCAGATAAAGCGCTCACCGGGGGAGAAGGGAGAGGCGGCGGCGAGTTCGGCGGACAGAGCGCGGAGGCGGGCAGCGAGGGCGATTACGCCGTCGGGGATCGGGGGCAGCGGGTACTTGTCGTAGTAGCGCGCGAGGTAGTCCCGCGTGATCGGCACCAGACCCTCTGTCGTCATCTCCGTTGGCAAGATTGGAGAGCAACGGGGACGAGTTCGCCGGCGGTAGGTGGAGGTGATGTGGGAGGAGAGGAAGGAAGGGGAGGCAGGAAGGGCACGTGAAATAGACGTGCCGTTGGAACGGTGGGTATGGTAACCGGGCGGTGGAGAGGTTGGTGCCGTGGGTGGTTGGTTGCTTGCCTTCAAGAGAGCGGAGACCTGGGAAAGTTCTGTACTCGAATTTGACCACTTTCACTGTGTGTTTGAGACGCCAACTTCCTCATTAAGGCTGTGTTTGATAGCAAAGTATTATATAAACCAAAATATCAAAAACTACAGTAATTTTGCCTGTAGATGTGAGATACCATAGTTTTATCAAAACAGAGTATTTTGCAGTATTCACAATACATAGAACCTGTTTGGCTGCCGCTGTAAATTTTGTTGTTTAGCCGTTGTGTTTAAGCACTCAGCAGCTTTGTTTTTAAAAAAGAGGTTTGGGGTTCTTTTTTTTATGCAGAGAAAAAACTGCAATTTGCCCAATACTACAATATTAAAAGCACAATTGTTATAGGCAACCAAACAACTCATTGTAGATAAAACTATGGTAATCTCAAAAACTTTAGTATTCTCAAAATACTTAGAAAATATTTTGCTAACAAGTAGACAATCTGTCCAGATTCACGAAATGACAAAAGTAGAGCTCGATTGACTCAAGCTAGGGTGCTTCATAATTGCAAACAAAGACATGGATGGATAGAGCACTACAAGAGTAACAAAACATCATTACTGATCATCCTCAAAAGAGGCACGGATCACTAGGAAACAACATGAACATATGGCATAATGAGATAAATAGGTCAAGGACTTAGTGGGAATGCTAAGTCCCTGAAATCAGCATTAACAAGTGCACCACTTTACAAGCTTGTGCTAGTCACCACACACATCACAAAAATACATGGGTTGCACCCCTAGAAAGATGGCAAAACCCTTAACAAAACATATGTAGAGCTCATGGACATAACATGCACACAATAATCATGGCAAAAATGACAAATATCTAAATGGAGCAGCAGATCTGACAATTATCTAAATGGAGCAGCAGATCTGACAATTATCTCAAGTAGCACTCTTCCAACAGCATTTCGGGCACCAAGATGAACTCAAATGAAAATGATACAATGGAATGAAATGATGTGCTCTCCGAGACGAACATTTTGATATGCTATATGCCCAAAACGGAGCTACGGATGCGGAGTTACGACATGATGAATATGGGCATATGAAACATGGAAATCTCGAGGACTTCGTGGAATTTTACCCCGCGGGAAAAGTCAACGTGGGATGATGTGGTGCGGGACGGCGCGGATCCGGGACGGGGAACGCTGTTTGGTTCAGGGGAGTGGTGGATCTCATCCCACTCCCCCGGATCCGGCCGGAGCGGATCTTCGGCGACGAATGACGGCGGAGGGCGGTGGAACTCCGGCGAGCACGGCGCGGGGTGGCGCTGTTGGACGACGCCGGCGAGGAGGCCCGTGGGCGGCGGCGGAAAGCGACCGGCCCGGCGACTATATCTGGCCAAACGGGCCGATTTTATCGGGCCGGCCCGGCGGCACGGCGGCACGGCACGCCCGGCAGCACGGCCCGGCACGGGCTAATCGTGCCGTGCCAGGCACGAGGCACGCACTGGGCCGTGCCTGGGCCGCGACCCTCAGCCCGCGTGCCAGCACGGCACGGCACGAATTCTAGCGGGCCGGCCCGTGGCACGGCACGGC